CCCCACATTATAATTATAGTAGTGTAGTAGGAACGTAGAGTTCCGAACAGATAACCCGAAATTTTTGCAAAGTGAACATCGCTTTGTAAAAAACAGCTTTGGAGTGATGGATGCGTATAAGATGTTGACGTTAAAGCAAATTTAATTGTTTTTCGTGCATATTTTAACTGCTACATAGTAATCTCTACTTTAAATAAGTAATTTAAATAAGTATAAAAATGTAGAGGTCAGTAAAGAGAGAGTTGTCTAACGCAAAAGTGGAAGAGCGGAGAACAAGAAACTGATACCGAGCACTCATCTTATATCAAGTCTTTAAAAGTGTTCTCGTTGTATTCATTTAAAAAGTCAAACGAGACAGCTATTTGGAGGACTTAATGTCATCATTGACCTGGAAACTAAGAAGGTTAACAAATATCTGCCATTGCGACTGATGATAATATGACCTTGTAAATTTATAATTCTTTTACTGACATGTCAAGAAAGAAATAGTAGAGCTTCTTAGGGATGTTTTGAGTGCGCTTAATAATTTTATATTAAAAAGCTTACAAAGCTTATAAAAAGCACTTGATGATGAAAAAATGAAATTCCAAAGAAAGACGTGGATGCCAAAGTCATCAGCGTTTTTAAAGGCTAACGATTTCTAGTAAAAGCTCGAAAAAATGAACTTTCAGCGATTGCAGTTATTTGAATTGAAAATGTGATTGTTTAGTTAAGAGAATTGATCAGAAAACCAAATTGTATAAAATAGAAATGATCACCAAAACCCACCATTTTCATCAGAGTAAACTGATCTATCCATATTCAAAATAATGTTTAAAAAAACGACTATCTTACGCAGTTTGACCCCTTAGATTTTACTGCAGTGTTCCAAAGCGCCATAATTTAAAAAAATTGGTCAATGCATTGCACATATAGCAATAATAATCAGATTTATAGAGTATAAACTTTTAAATTTAATTTTCTTAAGACAAGATATAAACATGAAGCCAAATCATTTGGAACGTTTGGAAAGATGTAATTTGTAATTGCAAATAATGTACTCCTCCTTGCTTTGAGAGAGCTTTTTACACAACCAGACGAACGTAGCTTAAAGAGTAATAATTTATGATTAATTGTATCAAAAGCCTTACTAAAGTCCGTACATCCAACTGTCGTTTGTGAGGCACACGAAAAAACCTGGAAAACGTAAGAAGTAAATTGTAATAAATTCGTTACAATTGGTTTATCCTTGAGGAAGGTACACTGAAACAGAGGGACAGATGTTTTGATAGCGAACACTAATTGTTTGGTAACAATCCTTTTAAAAAGCTTAGGTGGGTTCCCCAACTTGGCGATACCTGCGTAGTTCAGAACTACCCGCCTATTCCCACTCTTACGCAGTGGAATGCAATATAACGGAAAGACACCCGTTCGCAGAAAAAGATCAAAGATATTAGAAATTACGCCGCATAATTTCTCTGCACATGAAATAAGCATAAATATCGGGTAATTACTTATGGTCGCAGAGCTGTCAGCAGACAAGCTACAATAAGAGAAATCCACACAGAGGTTTGCAATTTCCCGCTGTTATTGTACGACATCACTGAAGGAACTGAGGAGTCTTTTTGTTTGAGTTAACAAACTTAAAGAAATATTTGGGACTAATACGAAGTGATACTTTTACCCTTGTATGTATCTGCAATAATATTGGTGATTCTTTTCTTTCTTTTGATACTGTTGCAGGTACATTTCTGGAAAAGCCTTGGCTTTTGATTACTGTTTAGTACAAATTAGTGGGGCCTGGAGTTTATGAATGGCTGGCGAGTAGCGATTTTTACTCAAGTGTTGCACAAAGCACTGTTTCCGTTGTTGTGTCAGGAATGACGTAAGAATTGGAAAAAAATTTTGAACGGAATTGATTCGGTGAGATGCTAATACCAACACAAAGAGTGGTCCTATCGGAAATTTTGTATCCCTCGAGATAACTAAGTTTTTGTTGTACTTTTTTTGTTGTCTTGATGCATTGTTGTACTATAACGATAATTGGAGTATTCCTAATACTTATTGAAGTGATTGGATAGATGAAACACACATTTATTTTCAAAAGCCCGCACAAAATAAAGAACGTTTTATAAACCGAAAAGGCAAACGTACCCGGAATGGTATGATGAGGTAATCTACATAAACCTTTGTCTATACACACATAAATGTTTTATTCGTAAGGCTTGCGACCACATGAAAATTCTGGAAGAAAACTTTTGATTTTCTAGATCAAGGCATCGACGACGGTGTCAACGTCTGCCTAGCGGCCTCCTAATGGAGGCGAATTAGCGAGGAAACGTAAACCGGCTTATCCTCGGCACTTCGAAATTCGGTTGTATTGATAAAAAAATATAAGAAATGATTCCGCTTTCGTGGAAACTAACAAGTTCAGTTTTATTTTTAGAAATAAAGAAAAGATTTAGTACTAAGTAGTAAACAGGTAACAGGTTTGCATTCTTGCAACAAAGGAATGAAATAAGATTGTGAAAAAAACAAAATTTCTTTTACAATACTCATATGTTAATGTATAAATACACAAAATAAAAATAAAAAAGGAAAATTCAATGTTCTTGCTCACAATGAAATAAATGAATGAAAATGAAAACAAAAATTGAGTTCAGAATCTTCACTCTTCAATTCACGCGGTCGAATTAATTGTTATTTTCCTTGGCTAGCTGTAAATCGTTGCAATGGAATGACTTAAAATCATCTTTAATTTCCGCTAACAATTGAACGTTGCATTGCTGACCACTGTCAACGTGCTTGATAACCAAACCCAAGATGTCAGAGCTCGAAGGCTTCCCAAAGTGTTTTGCGTGTTCATCGTAGAATGAAAACCCAGCAAAGAAGGTTTAAGAAGATTTTCTTGAAACGAAAATGAGATGAATTTTTCTTCGAAATTTTGTAATGTGATATGAAAGTTGATCAATAGTAATAATTTGATATAAACATTAACTCTACAAAATTTGGACCACGTACTACTTTTTAATTCTACTCTAGATAACAGCAATTCGTTATAAAATCGACTGTGCTGAATTTTGAACAGTTACCGCAATTTTTGAAACTCTTGGACACAACCATTTTTACGAAAAGTAATCCTTTATTTGCAAAGAGGTCTAATTTTTAATATACATCTCCATAATAGTAAGTTCACATAAAAACTGGGTATAATTTTGATGTTCTATGGCAAAAATAAGAACTGTCTCTATGACAATGCTGTATGGGTCTAGCGTAATATAGCGTATATAATATTTCTCATGTTTTCTTCATAAAAGTTTTATCGACATTTTTCTCATATCATAGAGTCATTTCGAAAATCATTCTTAATTTACAATTAACAAATATAACTCAATAACTGCGAATCATTCTGAAGATTGAGCTCATGTTGATTCCGCGTTCCACTATTAGACACAAAACTTCAAATATTTTCAGAAAACCATTTTTACAAGCTTCTTGAATTCTTGATTTATTTTCCTTCCTGTTTTATGCAACGAGTATATTCAGGCAATTGAAAGCAAAGTTTGTAGGAGGTGACTTTAATCCCGGGGACTTATAGCAGGGATTTAGACTACTAAATTCAAGAGGAAGGGTGCTTTACAAATACATTCGCAATGACAGCTATTTTGTTCTGCCCATATACAAGACAAAATTCCTGACTTGCTGAATTTCATCTTACCCTGGCATTTCCGCTAATATACTTCGCATTTATGACAGTGATGGCCCTAGTTCTAATCACTCTCTCCTGATTATCAATTTCAACAGGACTCTTCAATATCTCGCCGTTAAATTTATATATATATGTATATTTAAGTAGATATGTATGCATATCATCCATCGTAAAACTGATATTAGAAACTTTAGAAACCGTCTCGATGACAATTTACACCTCAATCTGAATTTGCAAAGCCGTTCTAAAATTGACGATATGGTAGAAGATATCACAAGTCTTATTCACCTGGCTGGTTTCAAATTACTCCCTGAATAAGGCAAATCATCAGTAGCAAGAGTAGATTAAGAAAACATTAACAAAACAGTACGATTCCTCTAGATAAAACAATCTAAATAAAGCTACAAAGGTCGCGCAACGGATCAATTTAACATTTTCGAAATTCAGAAATTTTTGAGTCAACATTAATTCAAGAATTTTTGGTAAACATTACTTATGGAGAGTCAAATATCTTAAACGACGGACCAGACGAATTAATCCTTTAAGAGATAGGTCTGGAAATTGATGCAGAAATGGTATGGGGAAAGTGGAAAATTTTGCTTACTACCTTAAATGAACCTTGCAGCCTGATAAGTTTTGTGGGACTTCAAACACAGAAGAAGTGTTGGAATTTCTGGAGGGCCCGTGTCCTGCGGATTGGTCTAGCAGACATGTAGCAGTTGTTGAATTCAATGTAGAGGTGAGCAAACTAAACGTTAAGATATCCCGTACGATTGCATAAATGGAATACGTATTAAATCTTCACTTGAAAGGCTCTTATCTTTTTTACATTCATTTTTATACCAATCACTGAAGGACGTGGGGTACATACATTTTATCAAAACGTTTTCAATGCCCATAAGAAAGCTTTACAGACCCCACAAAATATATATATTCTTGATAGGCATCAAATTCTGAATCGACTTAGACCTGTTCGTTTGTCCATCTGTATTGTCTGTTGCCAACTGTTTTAGATTCAGTTGGCACGATGGACTCTTTTCGCACTACGTGAGAACGTTCTCACATTGCGAATTCGTAATGAAACACCCGTTAATTAATTATAGTTTAAATTGAGAATTTAAATAAAAGACATTTATTGTACAATAACTTTAAAACAGTCGAATGGGTGATGTTTTGTTTAAACTATTATTAGAAAATAATTTGAATATGAACGCCAGTAATATGTAAAAGTGCACATTACGTTCTTGATAGTTTAAATTAAAGTCCTATTCGGATAGGTAACTATTAAACAAAATAGAAAATAGAATGAATGGTGTATGGTTAATATTTTTTTATTAGCAATCTTAAATTAAAAGAAAAATTATGTTCACTGCCATACTCGTCGCACTGTTCTATTTTGACATTGCTCCATTTGGGACTCAGAAGGACACATCGGTTTTTCCCAAATGGATATTTAGCTGAAATTTACGTTTGGACAAGAAATACATTTTGGTTTGATATATTTCGTTGCTTGAGCCCCTGGAATAGAAAAAGAAAACAGGTAGAAGAAGAAAACTTGCATGTATGTCAGGCTTAAAATGTGTTCTAAATATCCAGTATGTTATGAGGCTGAAAAAAAATTAAGCCCATTAATAGAGATATCATTAGTTGATCTTATACCTCAGTGTGTATTAAGGAATGGAATAATTTTACTACTCCTAGTGAATGGAATATATGGTACTTCAGTCGATAATTCGCGGAACGTGATTATGTACGATCATTATGTACATTATTTGTTACTAGTACTTTAAAAATGAAAATTAATGCATTCACTTATTTTCTTTTCTTACTTGGAATGTCACCCTCGGCGTCGTAAATTATTACGTGAGGGCGTCAAAGCATATACAAAAAACAATCATTAAATATACCAAAAATTTTACGTTGCAATTATACTCACTGCTGTGTTCCACGGTAACGCCTCTTTTTCCAAAGCTTTAGTTGATGCGCCAAATACATATAAGTCCTCGTTGCCACTAATGGTCGCTCATAAATTGTCAGCTCGACAATTCTCACTTTATGCACAGTCAGTGTCACTTGCTCGCTTAGCGCTCCTCCGGTTTTTTGAAGGCACAACCTATTGGCACTCAATTTGCTTTTTGCTTTGTGTTTTTGATCCTCCCAAGCTTAAAAATAGCTAAAAATAGAAGAAATGCAAACAAAATGTTAGCATAATTTCCGTCCGTTCCATCCACATTAATTTCATAGTAATCGTATTAAAATCTACCGTTGGAACAGTCTTTGCATTGTATTTTAAATAAATTTCATTTTATACTCAGCACAGAAGAGTTGCTGTATAATAATTATGTAAAAACGTTTGTCACAGACAGAAGGATGCATCAGAAAACCCACTGGGTATATATATTTTTAATCAGCATCGAATTTTGAATCGGCATAATTATGTCCCTCCGTCCACAACTTGGCTAGCACATTGAAAATTCTTGCACGCGGCTTGGCATTAAAAATGGACTGAAGGACTGTACTGTACAACGTAAGCTAAAGATATCTTTTTGCAAAATATGTTTTCCAAAAGAGTAGTACCTTTATAAAAAGAAACAAGCTTCAAAAACTTCGGAATGCACCTAAGCATGTACATCTTTTCGCTTGTTCATGAGCGCAGTCTGATGTCCATGGTAAATAGCCTTCCGTTCGCAAAAAAAAGATATGGTTTTTAAACTTTGCAACCGAATTTAAACGTAGTTCAAATCGGTGAAAGTATACGCATACAAAGCTATATAAATTGAGAACATCTTTGCTTTCTCTAGTTTTTCGTTCTCACTTACAAACTACAATAGAGGCGCGCACATAGGTCTTTTACAAAAACAGAAAAAAGTAGCCTCAGTCATCCAATATTATAGAATATGGAAATTTAATTTTTTTTTGGATGACGGCGATTGGTGTAAAAAGTTTGGTCGTATCCAAACTTACTTCTTTTGCTTGTTTTTATGCGATTTACGCGTTAGTAAATCGAAATATATTTTTCTTCTAAATAAATAGTGGTCCACGCAATGTCTTCCTTCAATCGTATCCAGGTCATATCAATAAGCTTATTATCATTAAACCGACCGAATATTTTATATCAATCAGCTTTCTCTTAAAAAAAATTTAAAAAAACGAAAAATGTAAATGCCTATAATGTTACGATTAGAGTAGACTGGTAGTGCTTAAAATTTATTTTGTAATTTGGTATTGCGTAATTTCATTAGCAGATAGTTGAAGTTTTCTAGGTCAACAATGAAGAAATGCACATTAATTAGCAGTCCAATATGTAACACGAAAAAAATCTACCTGGACATATCGTATAAATTTACAACCAAAAAGGCTGTTTTCTATTTTTTTTTAAGGTAATGTTGCGTGGCGACGTAGATCGCGCGCTGTTAAGTAAAATTAGTAGCGTTTTACCATTCTTCCTTTCCGTACTTGTCAATGGTACTTTCAGGTCAATTCCAAAAGAACAAAGACGTAATGCTGTCTTTCATCGCTCGCCTCAATGAGGAGGCTTCTAACAAAACGTTGACACTGTCGTCAAAATATGTTGAACTTTATGAAAATGTTGTAAAAAGCTTCGCAAAAATTTGCGAGTTTTCTTCTGCATGTTTAATCATCTAGCCAAAGTAAGACACTTTTGTGCAATTGACCCCACGTTGGGCACCACTATTGTTTAGCGGAAAGTAATATCTTTTATTAACAAAGTCAAAAGGTTAGACGAGCGGAGTTGTAACAGATAACGCACGAGTTGGTATCGTTTGGGTCCCAAATTCTCTAATAAAAAAATTTCTTTTAAAAGACAAGCATTATTTATAACATTTCTCTAAAGCTTTCTTATTGATTGCTTTTGCAAAATTCACTGTAATATTATGTGTGTATTCGTATTTCTGCACAAGCATAAGTGTTCATGTATTTTTCGAGCACGTTTACTTACAGAAATTAAACCGATTTTCTATCATTATTTTGCTAAAAGGTAAAAAACTTTTTCTTTTTACAAAAAGTAATTAATAATCGACTTAAAACTCGCAAAACTGTAGTAAACTTATTTATTGCAATTGTTTTCATTCCTATTGTTACATTTTCTAAATTCAACTTGAAAATCTGCTTATGTACCACAACCCCCTTAATATCGTGTCCTGACAAATGAAATAGAAAAAGTTTTTGCGGCAACAAATGTTTTTGTTGTTCTAAGTGGTTGTTTTACAATTCAAATCAGCACTAAAAAAATTTGAAAAATCACAATCTCTATGTGGATTGTAGATTAGATACCTTAAATAAAGTTGAATTCAAAATTTTTATAAACTTTAAGAAACAAGAAGACAATTATAATAAAAAAGCCGCTTCATGCCGCCGTAAGTTAGTAAAGAAAGTGAATCCGGTAGAGGTAAATAAAAAATTGAATTTTGTTAAATTTATCATAGCTTCGAGAACTCCTTTTCAATATGTCTGATCAACTACACAGTATGCCAGTAAGCAATTATGGTAGTAGGAAGTGGGGAGTAGTGTTTGCGTAGTTTGTATTAAGAATTAGCAACATCGGTAAGGGCGCAAAAAAGATTGTTCGAAGTGTGCGCAGTGCGATTAAACTTATTGTTCTTATTAGGCCAGAGTATTCAAAAGACGTTATGACTGGTACTCTATTACGCTGGAGAGTATCGTAGCTACTAAGCAGAGAAGTATCTACAAGTTTAAACCTACGGGGGGAGGGGGTAAACTAGTCCAATTCATTAAAATTTACATTGAGGGACAATGCCAACAAAACAGACATTATTGAGCTGATCATCAATATTGCCATATACCAAAAGTGACAGATAAAAATCTTGTTTACAAAAAGTTGAAGGTGCAAAACAGACAATTCAATCTTAATAACGGATGATCGCTTGCCATTGGCCTTTCGTAGCAGCATTTGCGTACTAGGTTAGGTACTCAAACGTAATGATTCAATCGTAAACACCACTGAAAAAGAGTTTTGTTGTTGCCACGGACGTTGTATGGTTTTGAAAAATGTCTAAAGTAGCAGTGACGGTAACGAGTAGTACATTTTCAAGGAATGGAGAAATAGAGAAAAACTTATTTATAAGCTTTATAAGAAAAGTTTAAGAAAATTTTTCTAAAGTTATATACAAATGCATGAATGGCTAGACGTATGTCCTTTCCAAAGGTTCTTATGTAACCTTCATCAAGTTCGAGTGTCAACAAGATGATTCGAATCGGGTTGGCGCTACTTTCAACGTCTCTGCGATAAAATTGTGAAGGATTGTAGAAATGACTTGAAAGAATTGTGTACTTCAGAAACCTATCTTCTGCGAAATATACGAATAGTTTTTCCTAATTTCCACGTTTTGCTGCATCGGACAAAGTCACCAGTGAGCGGTGAGCCCGCTGTCGATAATTTTTGCTTATGAGTAATATACTGGCACATATTCTTGCAACCGTAGAATAGTGGATCTCTCTCTTTCACTTCCTGTTTGCTTTAACTCGGTAGCCTAACACTGCGTTTATTTGATTTTAAAGATTTTTCTCTCAGGCTTGCTTCGCGGATATATAGGTATATAACTATTACTGGTTTTAGTCGTTTCTGCTTTGCTGTTGTTCGAAAGTTTTAAAAATTTTCATTTTCAAATTATCCGTGACGGCGCTTACAATATTTATAATATAAGAGCCCTATTAAATATTTTTAGATGAAGCAAAACTAAATTTGTGCAAGAATTTCCACTAACCATACGGTTCACAAATTTTTCAGGCTATTTCCTATCGTTTGGAAAGATTTGTTAACTGCACTGTTAGAGTGAACTGATTTTTGCATTGAATGAATATTTTTTTAAATTGTCGTTCCATTGTTTCTTCTGTAAATAAAAAAAGCCAAATAACACCAAAAATATTTCAATGTAATTTATATCAACTAAAGAAGGGCAGGCACTCCGCTTAACACAATTGTTCATATAACGACTTTTCTAAATAGTGGTCCAGTCCGAACTAATTTCAATAGGGTTTGTCTTTGGTCCAAGATACAGTGGTATACCAATTTCATCAAAATATTTCGAAAATTGCGATTTGTAGGTTGAACACAAGGAAACAAGGCGCACAGATGGGCAGGCAAGCACAGATCTTCAGAAACCAATAAATTTAAGCTGAGAAGAATGAAAAGACTTCAAAATGGAGGACAACACAAAAATTAATGCAAAATTTTATCAAGTAAACGAAAAAATTTTACATGTTTGTAATCGACTAAGTTATCAAATTGCCATATAACATTACTCTTTCGTCTTATTATCTACAATCTAGAGACATCGTTTAGCGAGTCCGTGAGTAAGGTACGAACATGGGCCTTTTCTGACGATGGAGCTTGCAATACAAAGTTTGATCCTTAATGTAGCCACAAAAAAGGCGAAATCGACTTTGCTGCCGAGAAGGTTTGTAGACAATGTCTTCATTTTCCTGGACAAGTAACACGATTTCCAAAATTAAGTCGATTCGTTTAAATATTTCGCAACATAGGTGTCTAGAATTCAATCATGCTCCAACCAAGCAATTTGAAGAACAAAGAAATTGTTGCTTTTCGCACCAATTTTCAATCAAATCAAGTCATTCATCAAACAGTCGGAAGCATCACATGTAATAACAACGTTTTTGATTTTTCAATTGGTAAGATAAATGAATCTTTAAGTAAACACAGTGATCGCAATCTTAACGACATCTCCTATAGCAATGCTTACATCTCAACTTAATAGCTCACATGATAATACAACCAAAAAAGGCTTTAAAATTCCGCAATGAATCATGAAAGGGCCTTTAATAATTTCAGTATACCGCAAATTATCATAAGAGATTTCAACCCTATCTTTATAAGGGATCAAAGTTCATTCTTAAAACAGAGCGTTGACACCCTTGTTAAATTTAACATCCCTGATGGACTCACCAGTTTAAACTTAAGAATACTAACCATTGCATAAAAATTAAACTGGAACACAACACTTACTTTGCTAATTACATATTTCCCCTTTGCAATCTATCACCCAACGAGGACTTTGTAAATTTTTCTCCACGCTTTCTCTACTGATGGTTGTTCTTGGGGAATTTAATAGTTGGAACTTGCATCTCCTCCTTGGTTGAACCATAGCCTTGGTAAGGAGAAGCAATATGGATTTATTGCTTCTTTTCAAGAGATATCCTGATTATACTATTTACGTAGTTATAAAAAGAAGTAATTAAGAGAATCAAAATATCTCAATTTTGAACAATATTTCGAAGGAACATTTTGATGGGAGTTGTGCGGAACAGAATCAATACACTAGCGAAGGCTCCATGCCACAGAGATATTGCAAGCATTTGCATTTCAAATAGGCCATTAATCGCACCAAACAAAATATTTCACCACTTCGGACAAGTATGGTCGGAGAACTCTTCAGAGCTTCATTGAAAATAAGCGAGCTCCAGTTACTTTGTCAGATGCTTATTCTATTAACAGATGCGCCGCTTTCCTAAAGAAACTTATATACGTTTTAGAACTTGAGAACTTTCTTACCAAAAAAAGGAAAATAATATGCTTGGTATTTTATATGAAAAGATGAATGTCATATTCAAACAAGCGTGAATTACAATTAATATAATAATAATGACACTAAAAAAATAATACAATACCTCATACAATACTTTCTATTAGTCATTTCCACCATTTATGGAAACTTGTGATGATTGTTTCCGCTCCAAAAAATTAAACCTGTTATGTCAATCAAACTACCGTCCAATCTCTCAGCTATGCTTACTGTCAAAAATATAGCTCCTGGGTTATTTGTGGCGATGAATTTAAAAATTGAATTACAAATCAGCAAGGTGGATTTAAGCCAGGCAAAAGCTGCGTTGATGCTCTACCGCACGTTGATTATCTCTCAATGAAACCAATTTGTAAAACAAATCCTGTTACAATTCTTTCAATCGGATTTGAAAAAGCGTTCGAAAGAGTCTGTCTACATATCATCTTAAGCCCTTTGAAATCATGGACCTCAACATGTTCCGAAAATTCTGATTTCAACCACCTTTGTCTTTAAACGTCAACTCTTGTGAATTTCGTCTTCAGAGAATCAATCGCGGAGAAGACTCACTATTTGGAAAATAGTGAAGGCTGCAAAGTTGCAAAGAGACCATTGACCATGCAGTGTTGTGATTAACTAAGAATTTCAGCTTAGACGAAACCAGACTAGACCGTTTGTACAACCACTTTTCATATAAAGTCTTCTTTTGAAAAAGCTATTACGTGAAGAAAACATTTTCATGTTTCTCGACAAAATTAGGTAGCCTATTAAACGATTGGCAACAAGGTCTAATTTTTAATAATTCGTCCTGAAAATTGGCACAAAGTTATTGTTAAATATTAGTTTGGGGAAAAAGAAATCCATTATTTTTTCGGTAGATGGCTGCACTGATAGATTTCTCGTAAAGTATCGATCAAACGATTTCATATTTATGATTTTTACACTCTGTAAGACTGTTTGGTTGGACTACTCGATACCCAGTTTCTGGTGTATTTACGTTATTGTGATCTTTGATAACAACTTGGACAGTAGCACGACTACGTTCAATTGTTTTTGCTGTTTCTCCGCAGAATTTCCCTTACTTCTTAACTTTATAATACTATATCTAATCTCATGAGAAACTGCTTTGCGCTTTCGTATATTTTGTGACATTTTAAAGAAAAGAAATAAAGAAATTTGATTAATTTATAAATTGTTATTTAGCAATTTATAAATAGTTATTCTAGCGATGCTGAATGTAGACTTTTTCGTGTTTTTTATTTTTTGCTTATAACTTTACGCTAACTTAAACAAAATTTTGAAGTGTTGCTTAATATGAGTCTTTGTTTCTTAAGAAATATATTTTTTGATCGTCAAGCCAGAACTACAGTTTTTAATAACGGAAACCTCAATTCTTGATACTGTATGTAGACTTTATTTTAAATACAGTTCATGTATATATTAGTTTGGGGAAAAAGAAATCCATTATTTTTTCGGTAGATGGCTGCACTGATAGATTTCTCGTAAAGTATCGATCAAACAATTTAATATTTATGCTCGTTGGAAAGGTGACATTTCGCAGTAAAAAAAATTCTTTTGCTGTTTTTTGTTTGATGCATTCAGTTGTGAGTTACAGCGTGTTAAAAATGGAAGTGAACAAAGAGAAAATTCGGTACATTTTACAGTTTTTCTTTGACAAAGGCGAAAATGCAAGCCAGGCGGCTAAAATTGTGAATGGTGTTTATGGTTCCGATACTGTAACAGCCAATTATGTGCAATTTTGGTTTCGTAGATTCCGTTCAGGAATTTTTGATGTTAAAGATGCACCTCGTACAGGTAGGCCGGTCGTCGAAAATGTCGATAAAATCGGAGAAATGATCGAAGTTGACCGGCATGTTAGCAGTCGTAACTTCGCCCAGGAGCTAAAAATCGACCATAAAACAGTTTTAAACCATTTAAACAAAGCTGGATTCAAAAAGAAGCTCGATGTTTGGGTGCCACACCAATTAACAGAAAAAAACATGATGGATCGAATTTCCATCTACGAAGCCTTGGGCAAACGGAATGAGATAGACCCATTTCTTAAACGTATGGTGACTGGAGATGAGAAATGGATCACATACGATAACCCTGTGCGAAAACGATCGTGGTCAAAGAGCGGTGAAGCACCTCAAACGGCCAGGAAGGTTTTGCTATGCATTTGGTGGGACTGGAAGGGGATTATTTATTATGAGTTGCTTCCATATGGCCAAACGCTAAATTCTGATCTCTACTGTCAACAACTGGACCGTTTGAAGATAGCGATTGACCAGAAACGGCCAGAATTGGCCAACAGGAGAGGTGTCGTGTTCCACCAGGACAACGCTAGGCCGCACACATCTACAGTGACTCGCCAGAAACTTCGGGAGCTTGGTTATAATAATGTCCTGAAGTTTACATAAAAATAATGGATTTCTTTTTCCCCAAATTAATATATACAAATAGAGTTTTTTTCTCTTTCTCTTCAATTATTCATTTAAATAAATTTTAGGAATAAGCTGCAGAAACCTTATGTTCTATGTTAATGGAGTAGATGAAAGGCAGAAATGTTTTTATTTTAAACAGTAATAAAAATAACAATGCGTGCTGGTTGTTTACGCAAGATAATATAACAATGTTATAGCCCTCCTTGAAAAAGAAAGATTCCTACATTTTATTAATCTCAATTTCATAAAATTTAAAGAACACCATATTAACTCAAACTGATGGAGATATGAATGCGCTTCCAAGATAAAAGAAGAAAATAGCTGAACATCGTCAGCGTGCGTGTCTCCGTAGGATGTGGCTGGATTGCATCATCGAAAGGATTTATTGATATGCAAGATGAACAGAAAGAGTGGAGTAGTCTAGCGGTCCGTGAGAAAAGAGTTGTTATTGAAGACTATGACGAGCAAAAAGAGAATGTGTGGCTGGGACAGCATAGAGAAAGATAATGAAAGTTTAAAGGAGAATAAAAAAGGCTTACTAAAATCGAAAGTTAAACAAAATCTACAGTTTATTGAATAAAATCAAACTGCACAGGATTTTAATTCTGAAGGCAAGTACGGGTCAAATTAAAACACTCCATATCAAATGTCAACATTCCACAAAAGAGTCAAAGCATAGCAATTCTAAAGACGACGACAAAAATCCAAGTGAAACCTATGCAAATCTACCACTCCTAGTGCTGTTTTTTATAATTGTGACATAAAATCATTAAAAAAGTAAAATTAATGAAAATTCTTCTACCTCGACAGCTTTGCAGGCAAAGACCAAGTAAAAGCCCCGATATTGGAAGAAGTCGATCGCCAAGAAGCTTTTCAAGGTTCAAAATTAGATCCAAAATTATTCGGGCGATGTCATCTGTAGAAATTTTGTCTGCTTTGAGAGGAGATTTCGGGTATATTTGGCATCACCAAGGATTGCTGGCATTGTTATAGTAACTTTTTGTTTTATTCGTTTCTGAAAGAGAGAAAGAAATAAAGAGAGGATTACCGCTTTTTAACAATTGCTTCCATGAATATAAGCATAACAGTTTCCAGATCTTTTTACAGTCGTTTTTCTCTTGAAAAAGTTTAATTGAAAAGGACGAGGATGAGAAGGACGCCTAAATTTCGTTTAAAATGGCAAGACGAAACGATTGAAAAAGAAGCGACACGGAGAATAAAACAAACCAAATATGAAAAATATTTATAATAAATTATTAAAACAGAGGCTGTACAGGTAAAAAAGCAATAGTTGTTGTGTGTGTTTCTTACGCAAAGCTAATTGGGATTATTTGGTTAATTTTAAAAGGAATTTGGGTTAGCAGGATAAGGGCACAAAGGTGTAAAAATTTTACGTATTAGGTATATACATAATTCTTCACCATGAAACTTTTAACGTATATTACTAGTGAGGGATAATATAATATAGTATAGCGTAGTATATTACTAGGGTACGATAACACAAGATAATACGGTATAGTATAGCGTAGTACTAGTGTAGGGTATTATAGCGCTAGGATAATACAGTATACTATAGTTCGAGCTGGGGTAGGGGATCTGTTCGTCTGGTCTAACCACGAAATGTCATAATAGCGGTATGCCGTTAGGCGACATCGCGTGATCTTTACAAAATAGCGGCTGGCCGTTAGGTATGCAGAAGAGAGCAGAGAGAGAACCTTTTGGCTGAAAACTTCAGCGGTGGTGTTTTTCGCTGGTTTTGTTTTTTGAGTTTTCTTGGGGAACAAACCTCTGAAGAGGAAAGATGGTTTTTTTAAAAATTGAAGATAAACGGACGCCTTGCACGGGAATTAATCGCAAAGAATAACAAATATTGCTTGTAAACGGAAAAAGTGCAAAATAGCTACTTAATATCTAAAGAAAGGATGCCTGTGACTATTGCGTTGTAAAAACTTTTATACCAAGAAGAAAAAAAACTTAAAACTTGAATGTTGTGATCTGTAGCGTTCTTTCCACGTGTTTTTTGTCTGCAAATCTTGTCTGCTCGTTTTCCTTTTTATTATAAAAGAAATCTTAAATTGTTATTGACGAAGAAATTAATTAACTTAACTAAAGTGTAAACAAAAAAAAAAGAAAAACAAAGGAAGTAAAACTAGGAGTTAAAATATTGATAAAATAAATTTAAATGCAACTTTAAAAATTTGTTTTTTTGTTGTAAAAAATTTAAATTAATCTATAAATGAAAGGGTAGAGACACAAATTTTAAGAGAATCCGTCAAAATTCCGCTAAGATATAACAGTGGGATTATGGTTTCGGGACGTTGAGCGAAGATTTTCAAATGCCTTTTGCGTCCTCGTGATTCTGTTTAAAAATGCCGACTTTAGAAGATGAGACTGCTGCTTCAGCTACGGCTGGGCAAATCGAGAAAAAATCAGCAGGAGCTGCAAATATTAAAATTAACCCATCGGAGATCTCCACGCGACTTGCATTGATAACGGCATTCTAAGCCATTTCCAGTGTGATGACGGATTAAAATCCAGAGTTGAAAAGCAGAGTCAGATTGCCACAGCAGAAACCGCAATCATTGTCATTCCCTAACGTCGTCGCTGCTTAGCACTGATAATTCTCAGCGTCCTCATAATACCAATGATTGCAGCAATAACGGCCAGAGTGTAATGGGTACAAGAACGACGGTATTGTCAACAAGTTCAGCAAGTTTAATGGGAATTCAAATATTGGTAGCAACGGAAATCCAAACGCTACAGCACCAAACAATTCGGTAACTTGCTACAGTGATCGCAATTCTAGCTTGAGCACGATCACTAACAGTAGCGACAGCGTTTGCCACTCCAACATCAATGAGATGAACAGTTCTACCAAAGTTTCGGTTCCCTCACTAAACTGACCTCCGAAGCCGAGCATCTAACGGGCGGTAACACTTCAAATAGGACAACATCGATCGTCGGCAGTATGGATGACAATATTGCACTTATTGTACCCACATCTGCTTTTGTGAAACCTCAGCGACTGGAGCAAGAAGGCGTTACTATTTAGCTGGCGCTTCATCACTTAACAGCCGGGTATTCGTAAACGTTAAGTAAAGTGTAGCGGGGCCATGAGGCTGTGTACACGCGAGTGGAGGTATGGGGCCTGGGAACAGTGACGGACGGACTAAAACAGGACCAACGTACAGTGCGGACAACAGACCTTATAAACGGACTTACATTGTTTTTCCAGGATCAAATCTTTTTTTAATTTGAATTTCCTTTTTAGTTTTTTTCATTGCCTTGCGGCCCAGCATGCTAGGTCAAATAAATTAACCGCTCTACCGAAAGCTGAGCTAGACCCGTGACAAACTTTTAATTGAATCTATCTTTGTAAACAGTGCCAGGATGTTAAAGTCAGGAGTTGTGAGTTCTAGTTGTTTTTACGGTCTTGCTATTCGTTAAGCTCACAATATTATGAGAAATCCGCTTGAAGAATATTGGAAAGAGAGAATTTTTAGACGAACAGTGCGCTGGTAGACAAAATAATCATTAAATCATTAATTAATAATAAATAAAATTAATGTTAAATCCTTACCACAATGTTTTGGTTTTTGCTAATTCCACTATTTTGTTTCTTTTTTTTGTGTACCACTTGTTGCAATGTATTTGAACTTCAAATTTTGTTACTTTAGAGAGCGAACTTTAAATTTTGTTACTTTAGAGAGTAAGTAAATGAGCGAACTTCGAGTTTTGTTACTTTAGAGAGTAAGTAAATGAACGACCACTTGTTATTTCCAATACTTCCAATATTTATATTCTCTACCGTACTTGAGATTTGAACATACGAGTTGGGATTCTTTGCCTACCCAACCACTTAGGCGGAAATATAACTTATGTGAAATTTTGTAGAAGAAATCCTCAAATCATCCAAATTTATGTGATCACTTGTTTAAAATATAACATAAATGAAAATGTATCTATTTTTTCTCTATTAGAATATAAATTAATCTTACAAACATGCAACAGTTCAACCTCTCATAGATGAATATAAAACTGAAAATGTTTTCAAGTAAGCTGGGATCGGTTGACGGTCTTTGCTTGTGAGTGTAGGTGGATATATAAGCTTTATAGCTTGTTTTAAATTAAATTAACTGACAATGATTTACTTCTTGTTTTCCCAAATAAAAAATTTTACTTATAATCTTATTAATTAAATATTTTTTGGTATAAAAAAACAAATAAACATTAATAAATTAATAGTAATAAATTTAACAAATGCATAGAAATTGAGAAATTTCGATATGGGTAACAAGGAAAAGCATACCAATTGTCCAGTTTTTAAAGTTTTCTCTCTTTGATTGAGCTACTTTGTGTGCGCAAAATTATGAAACGAATTAATAATTAACGGAATTTTGTTATCATATGAAATGCTGCTCCCTTGTAAAGAACGTAGGAAAGGCAGACCTACACTTATATACGCACCTTAGCCCAAAAACGTTAGTCGTTCTATGATTACTATCCCAAACGAAAAACAGCGCCAAACCGACTCTTGTTATTGTTGGGGGGATGGATTGATTTCCATTTTCACTATTAATCAGTGAAAGTAAGAAAGTAAAAATTTTTTAATTTGTTCTTTTCCATAGACAATTCAAAAGCTTTCAATTCTTATTGAAAGAGTCTAATTGCTGTTTGATTCTATCAATAATTCTTTAAAGTAAAACTTTCATTTATAGTGAAACTATAAGTAGATTAGATAAATTGCTCTTGATAAGGAGGCTTTGAAAAAAGAAGGCAAAAGATTATCAGCTAAAATGGAAAATTTATATAATTACTACATTACTAATTGTAAGGCGCAATCAATAGTTGCGAAGTTACCAATAAATAACCATAATTTTTGTCCAAATTCTTTAGGGTCAATACTAAAGTCTTCATAAATAATTCATGAGTGGCGTTCACTACCTTGAAATGAGAGCATTCTGTTCTACTGCATTCAGTGAAAGATTTTTCTTGTTCTACTTATGTGTATAAATTGTTTTCACTGATTAAATTTGCTTTTGTTTTTCTTTCCTCCTCTATATTAATATATTTTTAATATCTATTTTTATAAGACTTTTTCATTTCCTTAAAGAATAGTAAAAACCACTTTTGCTGCCGTCTATTTGCGCGCATATCAATTGCTTTCATTCTATGATTTCAAGTACTTCTTGCTTCCCTCATTTAGAAAAGAAGAAGAAGAGCGTTGACGTTATTTTGACTTCCTTGTTATCTTCTTTTTTTACTTGAAAGCAACTGCTTACTGCTTTTATACTCGATGTGATATATTTTGCATTTACTTTAAAATTCAAAGTTAAAACATTGGTTGGCGAAATGTTTCGAGACGTGTTGAATTAAATAGTTTGTGCTTCAAAATATATGTAACGATAACCAATAAGAGAAATGTGAGCTTTACTGTGAGCTACCATCGAATAGTTGAATTTATTCATTTCAGAAAAGATCCCTACCCACAAAAGTTTTATATTCTTTGTGAGCTATGTGAATTATTATTTTTTTAGACTAATTAACCAAGGTCCCAAGTTTTCAGGCAAAAAAAAAAAAAAACACTAGACCTATTTATTCCTAAGAATTTTACATAAAGTACCAGTTGACTTTACTAAATTGTCATTCTTTATTGAAAAACAAGTAAGTCTTTCCCGCTTTTGAATGAATCATTGTTATCTTTCATCTCAAATTAATAAATTAAGAATGTTTCTGCCTCTAGAAAGATTCTTTACTAAGATTTAGATGAACGACGTCTTCGGAATAAAGCTATAATTTTTTGGTGACTGTGGAAATCGCAACGAGTTCTTCATTGAAATTTCTCGCGGTTCTCTTAACAATTTGTAAACTTTTTCGTTCTATTAGCTGCTAAGAATTGTAGTTTAGAGTTTGTTGTTTATAAAGTAGTCAAGATAACGCCAATTTTTAACTTGCTCTATGTTGCGTCGAGTCTCAACGTCCATTCTAATTTTTTATAACGATAAACGATT